ATGACCCCATGGACCGGAGCACGCCAGGCCCTCCTGCCTCCTGGAGTTGGGTCAAAGTCATGTTGGTAGCTTCAATGACACTGTCCACCCATCTTGTCCTCTGTCATCCCCTTCTCCTCTTGCCTTCACTCTTTCCCAACATCAGGGTCTTTTACAGGGAGGTTTCTTTTCTCATGAGATGGCCATAGTATTGGAGCCTCAGCTTCAGGATCTGTCATTCCAGTGAGCACTCAGGGTTGATTTCCTTCAGAACGGATAGGTTTGTCCTCCTTGCAGTCCAGGGGACTCTTAAGAGCCTCCTCCAGCACCACAATTCAAAAGCATCAATTCTTCAGTTGTCAGCCTTCTTTATGGTCCAGCTCTCACTTCCATACATCGCTACTGGAATGGATGGAAATGGAAAGAGTTGCAGTTTGAAAACAAGATCTGGAATTCTCCTAGCAAGGCACACTTGGCCTTCTATTATACAGGCCTGGCCTAAAGAAATAAGTGTATTTGCTTACCCAGAAGGCTGTTGTCTTTAAGTGTACCTAGACTAAGTATGTGGGATCATAATTTGAAATACCTAACGAGAGGATACGTGTATGCCATATTTTTGCCATATTGTTCCTCATACATTCTAGCAGTTTGCTGCCTCTAGCACTTTCTTGATAATAATCCATAAGGGAACAATAAGGAAGATGTTATATTCCCAAAATGGAAAGGTTAGCAAATCTGACACTTGGAAGCTTTGGAATTTTCCATTTCTGAACACTGGCAGTCTCCATATACAATTTATTATATTTCTGAACACTGGCAGTCTCCATATACAGTTTATTATATACAGTACTGTAGTGTTCAGAACACTACCAGCAGAGGTCAGCAGACATTCTGAGTACAGTATACAGCAGGTAAAGCAGAACAGTTTCCAGGCATTTCCTTTAGAATTGATAGGTTTGTTCTTACACTACAGTATATAGCAGGTAAAGCAGAACAGTTTCCAGGCATAGCCCTTTTGCATACAGTTGATCTGTATAGGACTTTCTCTCCTCCCAGCTTCAGTAGTCTACTGTTAAATAAAGAGAGTGTCTGGAAACCCATCAGTGAGATACTCTCCACCCACTCACCTAAAAAAAATACTTAGATTGGAAAAATGCCTCTACCCACTGAATGGATATGATAAACCACAGCTCAAAGTGTCTGGAAACCCATCAGTGAGATACTCACCACCCACTCACCTAAAAAAATACTTAGATTCGAAAAATGCCTCTACCCACTAAATGGATATGATAAACCACAGCTCAGTGACTTGATGGCAGATTTTTAAAAGGTGACAGAAAGATCATGGGTTATGAGAAAGTTATTTGAAGGTAGGGTTCCTCAGGGTGAGACACAGAAATGGTCAAACTAAGGTAGCATAGAGGCATCATTGAACTTTTCTTTGGTGTGAGAAATTCTTAAGCTTAATTTGTGCACCCTGAAACCAGTAAATGTAGCATGCAAGTAAATGTGGCATACACATGTCCTCTCTTTATATCACACTTTGGTTTACATGAACATTGATTTCCAATCGTGACTAACATAACTAAGTGGAGAAACTCAGAATCTAGCCAAGGAAGAGAAAATGTTAGGAACAAGAAGTCTGCAGGTGCTCATTTATTCATGCAACCTTGTCTGGGCTGCAGACTTGTTCAGTACAATTCCAGCTGCACAAAGATTTTTCTTTTCATCTAAAGCCTGTTAAGTGATTTGTGTTAATGAACATGTTTCTTTAAATAAACATCTAGAGTAATTTTTCACAAGCAAAGATTGCATGTGGACCAAATCCTCAGTTTTACATACCCAGGCAAAGCCGGGGGGTGGGGGCAGGTAAGGATCCTGAAACAGGGACTTGACCATTATATGGGCTTGGCTATGCCTGAGAAGCAAGCATGTAAATATAAATTTTACCTCATTGGAGAGCACAATAAAAGGAGACAGAAATTGGTCCCACCTGCTTTCAGACATACAATCTGGGAACAGAAAGGGCAAGAGAGAACTGGGCGAAGAATAATGCAATCCTAAGGTCTGTCTTCTGATTTTCTTTTGATTCAGGCAGAGGAGTTCTGCAGTCATGGGGCTCCAACAGCCACACTGGTCTGATCCTCCTGTTGCTGGCTGTCAAATCTCCTTTAAAAGGATGCCTAAAATTCCAAGGGTACCGATCTGATTTTTACTAGATGGTCCTTGCTAGAATTTCCTTTAGGAGAAAAAAGCCTAGACCAGATGTTTTGCAGCAATTGAATGCAAACAAGTATAAAAATCTCTTGGTCTGCATCACTCCTGCCATGGACCTCAGCTACAGACCAGCCAACCCTGTTACCTTTCCCAATTTCAAAAAGCCCTCTGCAAATGAACAGATTTCTCTGCCAGACCATCGGCAAGAGAGTTCTGTTCCTCCACCAGCAGTCTGTTAGGTAAGAAGGAGGGAAAGAGAGTGAACAAATGGGGCAGGAAAGGGCAAAAAGGGGAAAGGCTGTAGTCTGACCGGTGTCAGATTTGACCTCCCAGCGTTGGTCCCCAGATGTTCTTGGACTGCATCTCCCAGAAGCCTTTACCTCTAGCTGTGCTGGCAAGGGCTTCTGGGAGTTGCAGTCCAAAAACATCTGAAATCGGTGCTCTAGAGATTAAAAGACGCAAGAGTTTCCCACATGGATAGGTTTCCTCTTCCATGATTAGAGAAGAGTCAGACACATTGATTCCTTTTTACTGCTTTATTGAATTATGTAGAACTTTCCCTGAACACGGCTCTTGTATATAACAAATATGGTAAAAATATTACGACTACAGTTTCTCTAGCATGCAGGTTAAGAAGTGTGTAAAGAACCATTGATTTTAATCTAATTCCATGGTAATCACCTAAAAGGGAGATTAAAAAATTACTCAGACTGCATCCTAAAAGGAGAAGGAGGGCTAAGCATTCAGCTCACACTAGAATTAATTGTCATAAAATTGATTGAAATTAAATTAGGGTACACATTCGTTGAAATCCCGTTGCTTACCATAATAGGTTGCACTAGAGTAGGACGATTGAATCAGTGGGGATTTAGTGAGTCAGTTCCTCCACAAATAATGTTTCTTTATATGGGTCTACTTTACTATGTGACTTAACATAGAAAAGTAAGTTGCAACTAGAGTAAGTCTATTTGAATAAGGAAAACTATGGAGGACTTGTCTCACTAAAATTGTCATTGACTCCATGGGCCTACTTTAGTACTATGCTAAGGAACAGGATTTCAGCCATAGATTAATTTCCTTACCAGAAAACCCCCAAAGCTCACAGTGAGCTTGTACAAAAAGAAGAACTGAGACTGTCAACTTTGAGTTCCATATTTGGATGAAAGCTGAAGCCAGAAGGTAAATTCAAAACCACATTGATCTTAATTCTACACTACGACTTGGAGTAATCACTGTCTGAATTCACCTAGTACATTAAAAACTTGCTGGAAATGGTTCAGATATGATGGATCCTGATGAGAATGCTGGGTTTGGACAAAATACTTGGGCACCTATGCAATGAAAAGGCCCTCTTTTCTTCTCTTGGGATCTCCTATATTATGGGGAGATGAAAAACATATCTCTCCAGTGTGACTGGGGCACCTACACACACAGAGAGAAGTGGAAACTACTACTTTGTTAAACGTTTTTTTCTGGGGAAGTGACACAGAGTGGAATGACAGCAACCTGAAGTGGCAATATACCCTGTACTTTCCCTGGTCCCATAACAGAGCAGATAAAAGATGGAATCCTTTTGCCTCTGAATTCATGCACCCTTTAGGAATAATAAAAATGCTGAGCAACATCAACAGAAAAGGCAATTACAGAGCAGCCCTTGGCAGCTTATTTTTTGTATAATCTGATTTCTCTCAAAATACATAAAATAGGGTCTGCATCAGTGCCCACTCACTGCTGAATATGTTGATGCACTGGAATTCTAGATTTTAAAAAATCTGTTTGATATTTCTCCAGGCTTCCTCTAAAAATTCTAGGAATGTGCTATATTTATTTATACAGTTAAATGCTCCTTCCCCCTCCTTTCAGCTTTTGCATTTGAGCAAGTTCATATTTTTCACCTCTTTATCTCCATAATTTTTAAATCATCCTTGATATTTTGAGAACTGTTGATAAGACTGCTAGCTACTGTGTAACTTGAAATCACACTATTATGACGTGTTTTCACAAAAAATACCCTACACAATCGCCTGTTTGGGAGACAATACTAGGGGAAACAGTTGCAGTCTTTCATATACTGAGATGGATATGCTGTCTGCTAGCTATAGTTCCAAGTATGGGTGAAAGCATAGGTATATATTAATGGATGCCATTAAGTGAATGTGAACCTGGCAGGTTAGAGCCCATTACAAGTATCTGGAAACTTTTAGTGTTCTTAGAGGCCTACAGAGCAAGGCCATAGGTTGGCTGGCTAGCTAGCAAACAGGGTGAACCAGTGATTCACTGGAAAGCAGCAGATTCTGTTGCTGTACAGTGGTGCCTTGCTTGATGAGGATAATTCGTTCCATTCAAATTGCTGTTAAGCGAAATCCTCGTCAAGCGAAACAAAAAAGCCTATTGAAATGCATTGAAAACTGGTTCAATGCGTTCCAATGGGTGAAATACCTCAGTGTCCAGCGAAGATCCTCCATAGGGCAGCCATTTTCAGTGCCTGTAAAGCGAGGAATCCATCCTAAAACACAGCGGGGAGCCATTTTAAACAACGGGCGGGCATTTTGAAGGCCCGACGATCAGCTGTAAAGATCGTAGTTAAGCGAAAAATTGGTTCCCGAAGCAGGGAACTGATCGCCGTTAAGTGATTATTGCCTATTAAAACATCGTTCTCTGATCGCAAAAGCAATCGCAAAAACTTCATCGTCAAGCGATTTCCTCATCTAACGAGGTAATCATCAAGCGAGGCACCACTGTATTATGAATATATTTGCAGGGTTTGTTGAAGTTCCCTTGGTCTTTGTGAGGCTGTAAGAGCTCAGCATGGGTGAAGCATTCAGTGCTGGAAAAAGAATATCCATGGCCAGCTCTTCACTGGGAATGGACCAGTGCTCCAGCTCCCTGCCCAAAGCCAAACCCTTTGGGTCCAAAGTTCTTGGCATAGCAGCCTGTGTGAAAGGAGAAGAACAGAGCAGTTAGATCACAAGTGGCAAGAATGGCTGAGTTAAAAAAAAACCAACCCTCCTACTGGGTAAGCCATATAGCAGCGATGGCAAACCTATGGCACACATGCCTCAGCTAGCATGCAGAGCCCTCTCTGTGGGCATGTGAGTCATAAGTCACTGATCACAACTCCCCCCTCGCAGCCAACCTGAGGAAGCAGCTGCAGCCACGATGCTGGCACCCCAAGAAAGCAGCAGGCCAGGATCCGGAGTGGGGTCTCAAGGCACCTCTGTACCCAGGATTCCCCCTTACGCCGCCACTGCTGCTTCCAACCCCCCCCACCATATTTGGGAATGTAAAAATTGTATTGGAAGTGTTGAGGGCATCTCAGAATGTGGGGGTGCAGGCATATATTTTGTCTTGCCCTTTTTTTGCATACATAAATGTTGTTAGGAATCATTTCCAGTTAGGGAAATAGAAGTAGAATCATAGAATAATTGAGCAGGAAGAGACTTTTAAGGCCATCAAGTCCAACCCCTTGTTCAGTGCATGAATCCAAATCAAAGCAGATCTGACAGAAAGTTGTCCAGTTTTCCCTTGAATGCCTCCAGTGCTGGAGTGCTCATCACGTTCTGAGGTAATTAGTTCCATTGTTGTACTGTTCCTCTTTATATTCATCCTAAATCTGGCTTCCTGTGACTTGAGCCCATTATTACGTGTCCTGCACTGTGGGATGACTGAGAACAGATCCAGCCCCTGCTCTCTATGAGTACCTTTCAAGTATTTGAAAAGTGCTATCAGATCTCCCCTCAGTCTTCTTTTCTCAAGGCTAAACATGCCCAATTCTTTCAGTCTTTCCTCATAGGGCTTGGTATTCACTCCCCTGATCACTCTTGTTGCCGTCCTCTAAACTTGCTAGGAAAGAGAGACTAGGGAATTCTCTGCCTGTTGCAAGCCAAGTGACAAATCACTGTTCCCTTTCAGGGTGATGTGCCCCTAAATAATAGTTTATCATATCCATCACAGGATATTTTGCAACATTTTGTATCCTAATCCTCCAGGCCCATTTGGGGAAGGATGGAACCTTCTGTATTTGCATACCTCTGGCAAGTGGCCAGAAGTTTGGGATTGTTACTTGGGGGGGGGTAAATATTACTCCAAGAGGCAGTTTTCCAACCTCTGCAATTCACCAGCAATTGACCATCACATGCTGCTAGTTGTCCCAACCTACGTGGGGCCTCTGAAATAACAAGTCTTGTTATTTCGCGAATAGAACAAGTCTTACCTTTGCAGTAGATTTCACCATCCTTGTCAGCCAAAGTTGTGGACTCTAGGCTTTTGCCACACTTTGCACATCGGAAACAGGATTTGTGCCATGACTGAAGACAACAGAGAGGACAAGTCATGGGGAGTGCAAGCAGAGTGCAAACTGTGACACTTGGGGCCTCTACATTACATGCTGCTAAGTACCTAGTTTTACTAGGTCAGCATACGCAAGCGGCAATACGGAAGGCTAGCAAGTAATCTCAATGCAGTCCTCTACCAAAATATTCCAAATGCATTGAAAAACAAAATAGTATTCTGCTTCTAAACATTGAAGACCGTGAAAAACTATATGAAGTTATTTTATCTGAGAATATATTCTTAAGGAAGAGGTGTTTTGTTTTGCAGATTAATACACAACAGTATCTGCTCACTGCAAATGGACACTTCTGGGTTCCCCCACTTTAATGTTCAGCTAAGACCTAAGGAAGAGAATGTATCTATCCAACTATTTTCCTAAATTATCATTGATATGTGATTGTAATTGCTTGGCCCTATTTATTTATAGCATATATCAGATGCTACAGCAAAGGCGTTCCAAAGACCAGCAGTTTATACTTCAATAAAATAATACAACTGCTTATATTGTATGTGCGTGTATACAGAGAATAATTTGTGAACTGCTTTAATATGCCAAAGGTAGAACAGGTAGAAAAGCTGCTTCCCAGGCTATCAATTTGTACATGTATATATATCATTCATGTAGCAAGTTTTAATGTGTCTTACGTTGTTATAACTATAACGTGTAATAAATGCATACTTTCCTGGACATACAAATCAGGAAATCCCAGTTATCTGTAGTTTCCTGTGACGTTTCTTGTTCCAAATTAATATATGATCAGAATTCAGCTAATGCTCCAGATCTGGCGTTCTGTTATTGAGCTCTTACCTTTCCTGCTCCAACCACCTTCTCGGCAGCATAGACAGCTTGAAAAAGGAAAGAGGACAGGAATTAACTGGAAGGGAAGGCCTGCCTAAACATCCATGTTTTTAGTTGGTTCTTAAAAGTACCCAGCGAGGGTGCAGCGCGAATCTCCGGAGGTAGGTTATTCCAGAGACGAGGAGCCACCGCTGAGAAGGCCTGGTTTCTAGTTCTTTCTTTCCAGGCCTCCCTTGGCGTCAGGCTCCTCAGCCTCACGTAGCAAGTTTTAATGTGTCTTACATTGTTATAACTATAACGTGTGATAAATGCATACTTTCCTGGACATACAAATCAGGAAATCCCAGTTATCTGTACTTTCCTGTGACGTTTCTTGTTCCAAATTAATATATGATCAGAGTTCAGCTAATGCTCCAGATCTGGCTTTCTGTTAATGAGCTCTTACCTTTCCTGCTCCAACCACCTTCTCGGCAGCATAGACAGCTTGTCCGCAGCGAGGACAACCATCAGCACCTCCCACCTTCTGTGCCATTTTTGATGCATTGGGATTGTTGGTGGGCTGATGGGGCTGAGCCCTGTGGAGTCCAGACAGGAAACCAGTCACTTTGTGGTCTGCCTATGTGTGAGTCTGTGGAATCTCTGTGTGAGAGGAAATTACTTGGGATGGACAATTCAGGTTGTGACTGGGCTGAGTGGGGATGAAAAGAAGGGTCTCATCAGAATTCAAGAGCCATAACAGATATAGCACAGCTATATCTAAGCTATATCTCCCAGAATGCTGGTTGGGAATCATAGTCCAAAACAGTAACAGCTCCAGCTACTGATACATACTGTATTTTATTTTGGCTGTAAAGTGAGGGATAAAGCACAATTCTTGCATGATTCTTAAGTAGCAACCCTAAACACCATGGTTTGTTTGCACTACAAAGACCTGGCTGGCTATAGCGTCCATATGCATTCAGCTCAATACTGAAGAAGCAGGGGTTCCCAACCTTGGGTCCCCACATGTTCTCGATCTAAAACTCCCAGAAGCCTTCAACAGTAGGTGTGCTGGCTAGGATTTCTGGCAGTGATAGTCCAAGAACATTGAGGGACACATGGTTGGGAACCACTGTCCTAGAGACTGCCAATGTTTTGTGAAAATAGATTGGTTCACAGAAATCATCTCCAGGTTATTGAATAGATATTGTTGGTACAAGAATCCCAGGAAAAATTGGGATTTTCTTGGTCTATTGAATACTATGCAGAGATTAAAGCTTAAACTTCTTTGAGAATTACAGTAGTTCCTGACTAACTGCCTGCTTTTCCCAGGTTGCAAAAACATATAAATCAGGGGAGGTGCTTTGCAGAGGAAACAAAAGACCTGAAGAGTGGGGAGGGGAATCTGTCAGCATGAGATTCTCTTGAATTAATGCTTGCATTTAGCTTGCTTTGTTTTGTGACTGGTTGTTAGAAGGTAAACAGAGACTTAAATAAGTCTGATTGTTGTGGGAGGTATACCCACTGAAATTGCATCTCTGAGGAAATCCTGTTGGGGGATGGATTGATAATAATAATAAAATACTGTTTTCAGTTTGACTTCAAGAGACAGAAGAAATTATTACTCACCCTTCATGTTTGATCCCCAGTGCTTCCCCCTTGTCCATACTCAAAGTCCCGGCTCCCTGTCCGTATCCATAGCCTTTTGGGCCATACTTCTTCCCATAACATGACTTGCAGTAGATCTCCTCTCCATGCACAGCCACTGTGGTGCTGTCCAGGTTCTTCTTACAAACCACTGCAGATTGAAGAGGCACCAATCAGAAGTGATGCATGAGTTTCTAAAACAGGCAGCCTCTGGAGGTGTCTAAGTAGCCTCTCAAATAACAGACTAGGGTCAAGCTGTGGGTCATGCAGAGGCAGTTTGGTGCCTCCTCCCCAGATGTTGTACAACAGCTCCCACAATATTCCTAATCATAGGTCATCCTCGGAGGCTAACATATAAAAGAGGCAGCAGTTCATTTGTCCTTGATATGGGAAATCTATTATCAGACTTTTTTTAATGCATATGAGTGCATGATATTTTAAAAAGTAGCTGGGTGCTGTGTCTACAGCTCTGGAAGAAGTAGGTTAATCTTTCCAATAGTCGTAGATTTAGAACAGGTAGCCATGTTAGTCTGTGCTAGCATACAGGGCAAAAACACAAGAAAAATGAAAAATAAGGAAGAGAAAAACATTGTGGCATCTTAAAGACTAATTGTTGTATTTTAATGTGAGCTTTCCTGGACAAGTCCACTTCCTCTTCTCCAGTATTATTTCTTAATGTTTTTCCCCTACAGATTGGGAGCTGAGGAGACTGACAGGGAAATTACACTAGAAAAGTACCATATCTCAGTCTTCAAGAAAGAACATTGTGTGGCTGACAATACAGTAAGCTAAATGGATCTCATATATCATGCTTCATTAATAATTAGGTCCAGTTTATCCCACTTTTCTCTGGCGGACTTGAAGTCCGGCTCTTAGATGGCACAGAGCGTCCCAAACGGCCCCTCCTTCGGTCCGCAAGGCACCCGAGCGTCCGAGCTCCGCTGAAGCCGGGAAGCCCAAATCGGACCTCAGCCACGGCTCCGCGTTTATGCTCCGGCTCCAGCCCGCGGTCCCACACTCAAACCAGCTGCCAGCGATCGTAAAAAGTGAGGAGAGGGTCTAGAAAGTCGGGGGGAGGAGAAGGAAGAGTGAGGAAGAGTGAGAGAAAAAAAAAGTGAAAGTAGAGGGGGGAAAGGAAAATAGCGCAAGAGGCAAGCCGGCGCGGCGGAGATAATCGCTAATCGCCCGCTACCGGCGCCATCTTGCACCGAGAAGGTAATTTAGACCAGTGATCCTCTGGTTGTTGGACTGCAGTTCTCATAATCCCTTACCATTGGCTATTCTTACTACAGATGATCAGAGCTGTGGTTCAGCCTCATCTATTGTTGAGCTACCACATGCTTTGCACTCTCATTTATATGACATCCAGGATCCTACTCCAGATTCACATTTGTGTAAAAAAAAACAACACAGAAGTCTTGGCAGCAAATTCCCAGTTATTAATGACATACTTATTGTGTTAATGGACTACAAATCCAATCCCCAGACTACTTTTTGGACTGCAAATCCAGTTCCTAAGCCCAGGAACACAATCATGTTGTTAATGAGAAGCAATTTGCTCTCAAAGCTTATACTTTATGGAAGTTTAAATCAGCAGTAGAATTCTGATTAGTAAGTGAAGTAAAGAATGAAATATTTTGGCAATGGTGGCAAAATGCAGCAGAAAACAAATCACAAATTAAATTCTATACAGGAAACTTCCTCTTGAACAGAATGCCCTCATGTGCAGTACTCAGGGGACCTAAGTAAAGTTTTTATGACTGGGTCAGGCTACAAAACTATTGTCCTTAGAAGTTCCATGAACAAATATAAATTGCAAGATTAAAGATATAACAGGAGAGAGAATCCTACTGCTGGAACAACTAGGGCAGTAGACGATTATTGCAATCAAACACTGAATTTGTAGGAAAGTGTATGTTACACATAAAAGTTGTAGGCTGAATTGTGAAGAGGAAGAAGATACTTAATCAACTCGTAATTAAAACTAATGCTTTTGCTAGGCTGGATCCTGAGTTATTCAATAAACAGGTTACCCAATAATTGACTATGTATAAGAACATTTTCCTCCCAAATACCGGTGCTTAGAAAAGCTAGGTTTTGGTAGGCACATCTCTACTATTTGGGCTGCACTCCACTTAAGTTTTTTTGGCCATTCTGGGAATTGTAGCCAAAAACAAAACAAAACAGTTTTTTTTTCCTAATAGCTGCCAAATATGCCTTTTAATTTGAACATCCCTCCTCTTGCTTTAGATGCTAGAATCAAAGAACTACAGAAGTTGTGGAGGAAAGAAAGTAGTTGGATAGGGTGGGAAAGACCAAAACTGAAGCTAATTACATAAGCAGCTAAGAAGAGTGGGCTAATGTTAAGCTGCTTCTAGTTGCAAATCAATTAGACCCTTCTTGAGTCCAGTCAGTAGTCTTGAAAAAGACTGCTCTTTGCGACTGCCAACATCAGTCACGCTTTAAAAATCTCAGGAGGCGAGAGGTTCCTTCTTTACCCAAAATACATTGTCTTACTCTTAAAGAATGCAGAAACAAAACCAAGTCCTCCCCTAGGAATGCCACAGTAGCAACAGTAGCTGCAGCCTCTATACCTAGCTACTAAATAAGGGAATCCCAGACTGAATTTCCCATCCTTATTACCAAATACGGTGCTTTTCTCTTTTGACACTTAGACCTCTGCGGAGAGAAGTAAGAGGAGGAGGAAGAGGCGGAGCAATCAGCATGAAAGGAAGACTGCCAGAAATCCTTTTCCAGCAAAAATAGCTCATACGTCTCTAACTGGCCTGGAATGGAGTTCTGGGCCCGCCCAGATCAATTGTCCTGTTAAGTCAGTACCATTTAGGTATCCCCATTTCAACAAGCATATCTTAACTGGACTGCTGAGCCAGCACCACCATCTTTCAGAGATACTTTCTCTGTTGTGCCCTTCTTTTCCTTCCTAATCTTGCTACCTTCTTAGAAAACAGACCATTCATAAAACAGATCTTTGTGCAGTTCTTACAGAAGCCATTGCCAAATTCCTTGCTAAAATGCTATTTCATTATTTGAAGTCAGACCTTCAACTCTCATGTTTTGATGTTGAGATTCCATAGGTATGAGCTCAGAAAAGCTCAAAACCTCTAGACATTTTCTTCACGGTGGGGGGTAGAGGAGGGGTTATGAACAGCTGTTAAACACTTCCACACATTTCAGGCTAAATCGAATGTAACCCAAGCTCACTTCTGTTTTTACAATTTCATTTCCTGCAGTTGAATCAGATGAACTCCTGTTGCTCTGTTGTCATAATTAGTGAAACAGGAACCCATCAATTTTTGCTGTGACTTCCCATGACTCTTGTTCAGGGTAAATGTGGTCCATTTTTAGTACCTTCCGAGGCAAAGTGATATATATGTGCAATTTATCTTTCCACACAGAACTGGAGCCTGACTCTCATACAGAGCAGTTAAAGATTGTCCAAGTCTCCTAGCAGACTACTAATAAAAACTGTGGCTGGCTTGTATTCTTTGGGTGTGTGTGTTTTAAAGGTTGATTTGCAGCAGCTTAATCCCTTCTATGGTTTATTTCACTGGGGCTGTCCTACACCATGCTATGTATTTTAACAGGAAAGTGGTTTCAAAGAGACTCATAAACAAGATAAAACGGCCCATGGTTAATCAGTTGCCAGCACTCCCACGTAGTCTTGGGTGCTCTGATGTACGTATGATGTGATATTTGAGGCTCCTTGTTCCCTGTTTCTGGAAATGTAGGTACTGATACAGAGAATAGCCACAGATGGTCTTGTTCTCAATGAAAAAGGAAGTCTTGACATATCAGAACACACAATTTTTTTTTCATTCCTGCCCAAGAATGAAAAGACCAATCTCCTGTTTTTTAATTTATTTGGTCTGCAGCAGTGTAAGTAAAATTGCATACATACATTGTAGGAAGTTTGGTATTTTTGGCAGAAAATGATGAGTCTTTTGTGCAAAACACAAAACACAAAGGTTTTTTTCTGGCATAATATAAGGTGTGTGGTTTTTTGCAGAAAATTACTTCTGCAATTTTTTTTGCAAAAAAGTCAAAATGAGAAAAAAGACCCACAACGATTATAACCTTGCTTGGCAGCAAGAAAACTTCTGAATTCTTTTCTTCTCACTTACAGGGACAAAATACATGAAGATATATAGTTCCATTTTTAGGGACAATAAACATTATTGTAGCACAGAAGACTAGAAAAAGCACCTATACCAATATCTGCAATATGTCCCATCAACTACATGCTCTTTGTTGTTCAGGTAGTTTTCCTACTAGCCAGGATTGTTTAAATGTAAGACTCAATTCCCCTATTCCTGCATTATGAAGGAGAAACGTGAACAATAGCTAAGGCTGCCCTCATCAGATCTCGCTTGTTCCTTGTGATCTAAGTAGACTGAAGCAATCACAGGCACCAGAGGTTAGTTCAAATTAAAGATTTTGAAGTTCATTAGAAGGGCAACATAACTTTGTTTCTGAAGTCTCTGTCACCAGTCAAAAAAACAAAAAGGACAACAACAGCATGAAGCTACAAACCAGCTGTTGCTCTGGCTTAGGTCCAGCATTAAAAAACGGCAAGTCTCTTCATAGCTTCAGGAAATTTGTGGATAATCACAAAACAACAGACTTTTTTTGGTTGTTGCTCTTACTGCTTTTAGCTTATTCAAAGCCAAATAATGTCTTTGTGGCTGTCAAAAGCAAAAACAGATACAAGGGGTCAACAGCACTGTACCATCAAAATAATTACAGCATTAGAAAGTTCAATATTAGATGCAGTATGGAGCAATGCACAAGTACAATTTTTAAAAAAATCTTAAAGGGCCTTTAAAAAAACTGCATACCAGCTATCTGAAGAGATTATACTCTTAATTCTCTGTTTCAATAGGCAGGATCCTTGCAAATATAGCTATGAACACATTTTTAACAATAGGATTGGATTTATAATAATATCTAGAGAACAGTTGCCAGTGTGTAACAATCTCAAAGAGAACTACTAAAACAGAAATAAGAAATGTGCAACTTTCCAGATGCTGCTAGTACTACACCTCTCCTCAGCCTGAACCAGCACAGCTCAGTGCCAAGGCATGATGGAGGATGTAGTATAAAAACATCTGGACAGTCTTCTGTTCCTAGTAAATTAATTTGTACGCATGAATTTAGTATGAATAGAAAGGATTACAAGATCTTTGGAACTTTGGCCCCAAAGATAAATATACTATACAGCAGTGGTCCCCAACCTCGGGCCTCCAGATGTTCTTGGACTTCAACTCCCAAAAATCCTGGCCAGCAGAGGTGCTGGTGAAGGCTTCTGGGAGTTGTAGTCCAAGAACATCTGGAGAGCCAAGGTTGGGGACCACTGCTATACAGATATTGTCAGCAGTTCCCAAAATTTTTGGCACCATGCCCTTTTTTGATTTCTGAGAAGCCCATGCATTTCTCAACTATCCTTTAGCATTACCATCTCCTTATTTTAAAAATAATAATGATAATGATGATGATGATGATCCTACATGACTGGACTAAATGTCAAGGGGAACCTTTCCCTTTACCTTTAAGGATGTTAACTTGGAGGTAAAGTCCTTTACCCCATGGTATGGGAGGATAGCAGCCTTACCCACTATAATGCACCTTCCTCTGCAACTTTGCTGGACAGACATAATTGGGTGGGAAATTTTCTCAAAAAGACACAGCCACCAGCACCTTTTACTCAGTACACAGGAACACCAGATATGCCCTTTTAATAGCCAGTGCAGTACCTTGTATCTGAAGTGAATGTGGCTGCAAACTCCTGCTGTTTGAAAGCACAAGGGTAATGAAGGTGTGCCACTTGGCTAAGTATATTATGGGAATCATCAGAAAGCCTGATGACTAGCACACATCTTGCTATGTACAAATATAATAGTCTTGAAGCATCTTATGGGCAAGCATATTTATTGTGGCATCAGCTTTCGTAGAGTACAGCTCACTTCCTCACACACATGAAATATTGTTCTAAGCTGCAGGTAAGGGCAAATTGTGACCAAGAAAGGGAGCCTTCTCCTCCAAATTTGGGAGCCAGAGCCCCCCCACCCCAGTCCCAGTGCACAAGCCACTTCTAGTTACAGGTATATATGGATCTGTATTCACATGTTTGTTCATGGACGATCTTTCCCTTTGCATCAGGACTGCTATATGTAGTCATCATTAAGCTTCCATGCAATTTTTATAGCTTGTGCTTTCCATTTTCCTCTGACCTCACAAGTCCAACTCCCTTGCTTCCCCATAACGTTACATTTATATACATTTGCAAGATGGGATCAAGCATATGAATGCATTTACTTTGCCACAAAAACTCTTAGTTGGTTTTGCTGCAGCAGACATAGCTACCTCTCTAAAAACAGATACAAATATTGAAACTCTGTGCATAGCCAAAACCTCTGAAAATGAGTTGTTTGCTTACACATGATCCAAATAAGATTAACCAATGTGGCAACAACACCCCCACACACACAAACACACACACTTTTTATGTAGATAAATCCTACTCATTCAGTTTCATCTCAGAAACATATTAATCCATGTATCCTGGAATCCCAATGACAGATGATTGGGAAGGTAATTAATACTTTGGATAGATGCGTATTTTCCAAAAGAGATGTAAAGCCTCCAGTAGTTGAGTCCCCCTATCGGGAGAATGGTGGCATATAAAGCATACAAAAAATTCCCAAATCTTTCATGTAGTCATACTCGATAAAAATCTCTGAAAATCTTTAATAATCTTCCCTTCCTTTCCTCTTACTAATGTCTGTGAGAAGCGGGCAACAAGAGACCTGATACCTAAGTGACAAGATAAGAGCCCCGTCTCATCCCACATGGACCACAGACAACAGCTGAAAGAATCTTCAGATTCATTCGTCAAGCTGGCAAGAACAGAGAAATAATCTGGCACATGTAACGTATGGATAGAAAAGCCAAGGCAACTTTGTGCTGCTGTACTCACTGCACAAGAAACAGGACTTGTGGAAACTGTTCCCTTCGCATTGCACTTCCTCAGCAAAGTACACTGTTTTCTGGCACACACCACACTTCTTTCCTCCACCCCAGTTTGGCATCCTGTGAAAGGAACAAACAAGAAAACTTTACCAGAAGACCAGTTAAGGGGAGAAGGAATGCATTTTCAATTTAAGCATGAATTGACAAGTGGGCATTTAAAGCACTTGCTAAGGATCATTAATTAAGGAAGACCCTGAAGAAAGACTGAAGCTTGTGCATGTGAAAGCTTTAATGGCATGGGCTGAAGTGCTTGGAGCCTGACAGCAGCTCAGATGGCGGTGTGACTCAGGTTGTGTCCATGCCACTGGCCCTCAGTTTTTTTGCTCCCTACTTTTGTTTGATCTTGCACTGTTCTGTGTTCATTTTTCAGTGCATACATACATAAAAATTAACATAGGAATGAGAGCATAAATAATGGATTGCAACATTTTTGATAAAGGTGCCCCATTCTTCAAATGGGCAGAATATAGGCAAATGCACGTCCTGCATGCCTTATCTACAATAGAGGAAGCAGTGTATGTATGCAGGCACTAAACGGCTGTAGACATTAATAGATTATAGCATGGCTTTTTCTTTCTTTCTTTCTTTCTTTCTTTCTTTCTTTCTTTCTTTCTTTCTTTCTTTCTTTCTTTCTTTCTTTCTTTCTTTCTTTCTTTCTTGTGAAGCAAGGTAGACAGCCAGTCACTTCACTGTGTGTGCACCTGTTTCCACTTTTTCTGCAGTATGTGCCACCTTCAGAAGGTGCATGGGTTAGAAACTACGGCTCCAGACCCTATGCATTCATTAAGGAGATTTAGAATTCTCTAGCTACTATACTTGATCCCAACAGTCAGTAGCCTATTTCACTGATGCACTCCTACCGTGTTTCCCCGAAAATAAGACAGGGTCTTATATTAATTTTTGCTCCAAAAATGCATTCGGGCTTACTATTAGGGGATGTTTTATTTTTTCATGTACAACAATCTACATTTATTCAAATATAGTCATGTCATCTTCTGATTGCCGCACAATGGTGGAGGGTGGGGCTTCACTTAACTAGGGCTTATCTTTGTGGTAGGTCTTATATTACAAGCATCCTAAAAAATCATACTAGAGCTTATTTTCAGGTTAGGTCTTATTTTTGGGGAAACATGGTATCTGTTCAAGGAATGCTGGCAGGATGTTCAGGTTAAGTCTTATTTTGGGGAAAACATAGTATCTGTTCAAGGAATGCTGGCAGGATATGCCAGATGCTTGGCAAAACATAGCCCTCTGGATGTTGTTGGACTGCAATTTCCATTAGCCTTTACTAGTGGAACCAGTTTTTAAGGAGTTGCAGTTTATCAATGTCTGGACTGTTGCATGTTGCCCACCCTACAATAGTACTTTTCCTCTGTCTATAGGCTACTCTCTAGAATAGATGACAAAGATTCAAAGAGCTTTATGTGGCCCACACTCATTGGACGCGCAGTCCATATTCCTGCTTTATTACACAGTAGGGATTTCATGCTATGTTTGAAATAATGTACTTCTGTAGATACCTGTATATCAAGACTGTCCACATCTTTTGGGATGAAGATTTGGGGGGGAAAATGATGTAAAATGATCAGTCCCTAAGTGACTGTCCACATCTTTTGGGATGAAGATTTTGAAAAAAAATAATGTAAGACGATCAATCCCTAAGTGTGGCCTGATTGCCAGATGGTGTGGGGTATAAATCTAACAAATAAATATTGTTGCATCCTAGATTCCTTTAAACAGTGATGCCCTAACAATCCCAATGCTATGGAAGCCAAGACATCCTGTCTTTCCACCCCTCTTCCCCTACCTTTTGAGGCAAACAACAGCCCAGAAACTGTGGATCACGTGATGGCAGAAGACATAAAAACAATAGGGTGGGAGAAGCTGCCTTTGCCTCACTGCTGCTTGGTTTGGAATGTTAAGAGTAAAAAGCAAAATTCTGAATAGCAGCCTGACAACCACGTAGACATGTCTTTGCAGATCTTTATTTGTTTGCTTATATTACCAACAAAATGCATATGCTATACATTAAGAGGCGCTGGGTGTCAATTTGATTTATCAGGCATTTAAAGTCAAGATACCCTTGTCTAAAGTCAGGCCATGCACTGGCTTGTTTAACGTTTAATGTAGACATTTATGCTTTGGCTCCACCATCACTCCATCTGCCATGACATACCGTTCTGTACCGTATTGTTATTTGTTTCCTTTTCATGGGTCAGTTGGTTAATTTATATCCTGGAAAGTGATATCTAGCTTTTAGGAGTCGAGCTAAGTGGTGCCTTGGATAGGTCTGTGACCAGATTTAACTTTCTGAATTCAGGTTAGTTCTATTCATTTATTTCCATCTAACATGTTGGATTACTACTTGCTAAATCTGAAAAAAGAGACCAGTTATTCTACAAGGAAAAAAATGGTTGACAGTGGCACCCACGGGGTAACATAATACCCCACGGGGTAACATAATACGGGGTAACATAATCTGATTGTCACTATAGATCAGGCACACAACCAGCAATGTCCTGACTTGCGCAGTTGCTAAACGTAGAAGCTCATTCTCTACCTCTCCCCCACCCCCAATAATAGGTGTTTAATATTCTCTTTGAACAAGGCATTTAAACTCAAGTGCTCTGTCTTAGGAGTGTGCAGGAGTCTCCTGCTCTGTTCTGTACCCAAGGAAGGACATGCAGATCAGCACCAACTCATCCTGTAGCCTTTAGGAGACATTCCAACCCATTGCACCCCCAGGTATGTGCATTTCTGGATCAACATTTAAATAACATTACTGTGCGTAGGAGGTGAAATACAAATCGCTATGACCTGCAGGGGTCCCATATTCACCCTTCCACAATCACACACATACTCACTACTAGAAGTTTAGTCAGTTAAACTGAGAGAAGAAAGAAGAAGAATAGCCTAGATGCAAAAACGCTTCTGGAACCAGCAGATCCGTGTACTGTATTACTTTCAATTTGTTTTATCCTTTCTTCAAATGATGTTGCTGATCTTATTTTTTAACCCAACAAAGGGTGAATGGGATACAAAGGATCCACTGTGGTGCTACTCCACCACAAGGGTGAAAAGTGGCCACTTGCTGCATCCTGAAGGCACTCTAGAACTACACAAAAACCCCAATTCAGTCTGTTTTTGCACAATTGTCCCAAGAGACAAGCCTATTCCGCTTTTGAAATATCTTCAACTGTGCTCTGAATGCAGGAAATCTGTTGTGTTGTGGCTTCCATTTAAGAAAGCATGGATAAAATTCAACTGTGTTTTGTAATCCTAAAAATGGTTGCACCAGGGCTTCCTTCTCCCAGGTCACTCCAAGGATCTGCAACTCTTTGCCAAAAGAGGCTAGGTTTGCCTGCTCCCTGATGTCCTTCTGTTGCTAGGCACAGATTTTTTTTTTTAAATTCAGGCAGACTTGCAGCAATTAAAAGGTTCAAATCACTAGATTTGAACTGATTTGTTGGATTTTTTAAAGACAAGACAGCATCAATATTTTAACTGTATTTTAATAACATGTTGCATTTAATTCTATTTTAGTGTTGGTACATTTATTGTATTTTAATTATCCACTGTACAACTGTACTGTAAGCTGTCTCGGGTTCCAATTTAGGAGAAAAGCAGTATATTACATTGATCAATTCATTCTAAGTAGACAGACAAAGAAGCAATGGTGTAGATCAGGAAGGGGCAGTTGTGTCCCTTCAGAAGTTTAGGGATTGGTGCTTCCATAACCATATACCATTGACCTTGAGGAACACATACTGTATCTCAATTTTCCTCAGCAATGACTGACACGAAAAAGACAGAATCTAAACTTTTATACAAAGTCTGTATGGACAATCCCCCACCCCTAAGATTTAAAGCACGATGGGTAAGCTGGGCACTGTTTTTTCTCAGCATGACTCTTGGACATTACATAGTTATATAAAACAGACTAGTCAGATAAAGCTTTCTGTGTCACTCTACTGTCAAATTAGGAAAGAGTGTACACACTGTACAGTTGTTAAAGGTGAAGTATTCTTCCAAAACAAACAAAAAAACAGCACTATACAAAAAGGCAAGTTTTAATGCTGCTGGGTGACCGCAAGTGGAATGGCCATGTGCCCAAAAGAAGTAGTTCTTACAGCACGAAAGGTTGTGTAAACAAGGGGATTCCCTTATAAGTAATCTCCCCCAACCCTACTGAAATTCCCCCTTCTATACAATTATTCTGCTTCAAGGTACATGAGCATCCCCATTCCTAGCAACCTATTTTCCTAATACTTAAGTTCTGGGTTAGTGTAACACATGGTTTGGATCCAATGTCAGGCAAGTAAGTAGAGGACAGGAAGTAGTGTTATACTGCCAGCCGTTGCATAAGCACCAATGGAAGCAACACCTAGTCTGATTAGATTATGATAAGTGGTACAGTGGCTTGTATAAGTAGAAATGTTGGATTTGTCCCTTGTGCCATGAAGAGGGAGTCTCCACAAGTATCCACAACCTTGAATGCATCTTGATATATATCACCAGAGGCATTTCTCTATACCAACTCATCAGCCTGACTTCCTTGCAAAGGGCAGAGATGGAAAAATGTTGTATTTGGACTACAAATCCCAGAAGCCCACAGCCAGAGATAAAAACAAATGTTCTCCATCTCTGGCAGAAGGCCACCAGCCCCGATGGAAGAGCATGGGCTGAGTAAAAAGTTGTTGTCTTCTTTTCATGCCTGCTGGGCGTATTAGGTTTGCTTTAGCCACTTACTCATTTTGAAAAGTAACAGCATGGAATCAACTGTTGCAGGAAATTTTAAGAAAAGTCGGCAACTTTCCGGTTGGAATGATATCTTCCCTGTTTAAATAAATATTTGCCTCAGTTGTCTATCTCATCACAGTCTTTCCTCCTCAGTACTCTGCAAGTGAGCTCTCTGACATCTGCCTCCCTCCCCGCTTGGCCAAGTCATTCTAGCTGGGAGGCTTGGATTACCTTAAAAGGAGATGTGGCTCAGAGTCTCTCATTTCTTTCTGCTGGGGCAGGAGCTCAGTAAACAGTGCAGGAAGAAGGCCAGCCCTGGC